TCTCCAAAAAAAAAAAAAAAAAAAAAAAAAAAAAAAAAAAAAAAGCCCTGTAGTTTGTAAGAACCTATTTATATGCTCTGTGGCCTTGGTCTTCCATGTGTAGCCTAGGGAAGGGTAATAAATACCCGGTGATTCCACAAGATGAAGGGCAGGGGTCAGTGTATTCCCACAGAAGCAAGGTCTCAGAGTCATCCTGGACACCTGTTGTCAATCTGTCCTCACTGCCCCCAAGAAGGAGGTGGGCCTCATGCCCCTGCACAGTTCTAATGATGTCTGGGGATGCCTGTTGGAGATGGTACCCCTGTAATCACGATAGAACACAATCATGTTGGAAGTTCATGGTGGCCTGTGTCTCAGTGACCATTGGTTAGTCCCCTGCTCTGGAATGCATCTTCCCTGCTTCCCTTCCATGACTCCTAGAAAGTCCTCTACCTTCCAAGACTATGCTCTCTGGAAGAGCACTGGTGTTGGGGGGTCAGCTGTAGTTGGTGTTTCTCTTTTAGACCTCTGGTACTTTTGATGGATCTCCCCATAGGCAGCTTCCCCTTAGGCTGTTCACAGTCACTCTACCGGAGCCCCATCATGGAAGAAACAATTGAGGGACCCATTTGGTGCCAACTCAGAAGGAACCCGTTGTGGTCAAGGTCAAAGCACAGAGCACTGCGGGTCCTTCTGGGGCAGGAGGACATGGTCCAGACTCTCAAGCACACCCTTACCCTCCAGCTGGGCCTAGAGAGGAGAGCAGGTGAAAACAGACCAAGTTTCCACTGCTGGTCCGGAACCACCAGTGTCCATTAGGGCGGCAGGTGCTTCTCTAGCATTTTCTAAGGCTTCATGATCAAGGAAACCATTGAGGACAGCCCTACTCTCCAGATTTGCTAGGTCATCTGGGAACAAAAATGATTAACTATGCTGTCCAAGAAGCCAGCCCAGGCCATTCAGGAGGGACAAGTAGGGGTGTATGTGACAGGAACAAGGGAAGTGGGTCAGGCTGTGGGGGAACAGGGACCATGTGGCCACACCTGCAGGGGTGGCCAGCAGGACAGTGGCTTTAAGTTGACTGGGGTGGTATTGTGGGAACAGCAAGTGGAAAGTCTTGCATGAGGCTCTGGTCTGTTCATAGTACTTCCTCCTCATGTTCATGTTGTCTTATCGGCATGTGCCAGGCTCCTTGAGTCTATTTAGGTCTTTGTACCTAGCTAGAGAACGGTTTGAACCCAGAACCAGGCCCTGAACCCTGTGCTCCTCATCTTCACAGTCCCCTGACACACGTGCATGTCTGGAAAGAGAATAATGTTGCTCATGGCAGACCCAGGGCCTGGCCCTCATGTCAGTGACAGGCAGGTAACTGTAGTTCATTTGTAGTCAGGTGCCCATTAAGGAGAAAAGTTCACATCCTTGTGTTTGGGACAGCAGGCCATGCTTCCTCCCTAGGTTGTGGCTGAACAATGAGATCAACACCTAGAAGTTTACATTAGAAGGTTGAGGTGTGGCTCAGTGGAGGGCACTTGCTCAGTGTGCACAAAGCCCTGGGCTCATCCCTAGGATCACAAGGAAAAGAAAAATTAAAGCAGAGTCCAGGAAAGTGCCATAGGCTAATCACCACGGTCCTACTCATCCACACACCATCCACAGCATCTGTCCTGCTAGGATGCAGCAGCACCCATGCAACAGCCCCTCCAGAGCCACAGACACAAGGACCTGACTGTTGCCAGGCCTTGTTTCAGAATGTTGGGGCTGATCTCTATGAAGCAGCAGGAGAAGCTCAACATTGTACCATTGGCATGAGAAGCAGGAGGTAGCAGCACCGTGCATCTTTTCCATTTGTATAATCAACAAGTAAAACAGTGTGTAAGTCACATGCGCGCACGCGCACACACACACACATACACATGCATGCATGCATGCACGAATGCACGCAAACACTGTGCAGTAGGTAGTTCAAGAAAGATACCGCTCAGAACAAGAAGGGCTGCTCTCTGGAGACGGGGCAGGGACACACGTGTACCATTTACCACTACGCTTTTCTGCTTAAATTTGCTCCACTTTCTGTGTTACCTATTCCAGGAAATAGTGAAAGAAGTACCTGGAGGCTGAAGAGCTGAGATAGCAAAGAGAGAGGAAGCCATCTCTTAGGCCACATTTCCTTCCTCTTCTTCTAAGGAAGGTGTAAAGATCTTTCTATGGGCCGCCACATTCTTTCTGAACGCTCTTGTTTTGATCTGGGAGGGAGCCTGGGAAGGAGGCTCTCAAGTCCTGCCTACATTTAGGTGGAAATTACCTGAGGTGAACGGTGCGGGCAGAGTGCAGCAGCCTTGCTTTGGAGGAGTTTGCTCCTCTGAGCACTGACTTCCCGGTGGAGGCTGCAGAGCACCTGGCTTCCAGCCCCAGTGAGCCTTGTTCCTTGGGTGAGGCCTAGTCTGGAGTGGAGAGTCCGTGGCGTGCAGCCGCTAGGAGCACTGGAAAGCATGGCTGTGCCTGCCCCGCTCCTCAAAGTCCAGACGGTGTGCCAGCCTGCCAAAAAGCCCCCTTAGCCTCAGTGATGAGTTGAATTGGTCTCAGCTGGCCTCTGTGTCTCCAGAGCCCCCAGGCTGCAGTCCCTCTGCCCTGGGTTTTCCAGCGAGCTTTAAAGGCTTGAGCTTGCAGCTCGGCTTGAGCACTGTGTTTGGAGTGTGGTGATTCCGGAGCGCATCTGAGCTGAGAACGGTTGCTCTTGTGAGCCCAGAGCAGACCCCGGTGCTGGGGTCAGACCCCAAGTGTGTCCGCCCAGCTGCCTGCCGTGTGATGCAGAGCAGACCCCGGTGTTGGGTCAGACCCCAAGTGTGTCCGCTCAGCTGCCTCCCGCGTGATGCAGAGCAGACCCCGGTGCTGGGGTCAGACCCCAGGTGTGTCCGCTCAGCTGCCTCCCGCGTGATGCAGCTGTTGTCTTGGGAGTGTTTGCCCTCCTGCTTACAGGGTCTCTGAGGTCTGAGTGAGACAGCTCAGGGCAGTAGCTGAATCTCCCTTCTAGAAGGAGGCCCTCTTCCTTCACTGGCAGTAGAATAATATATGGACTTTAGGGTTTCCCTCTTGCACCCCTTTCCCAGCTGGTGGGTAGAGACCTGCTGCCAGGCTCCACTCCCGCAGGCAACACCCATGAGGCATGTCAGCCTCTCTGGAGAGCAGGCTGGAGGCAGGGCTTGGTTGATGTGGTTGCTGCTCTGAAGGTCACTCAGTCTGTGTTACAGCTGCTCACCTTAGCCAATACCATGTCAATACAACCAATAGGGAGGTGACTGGGGCAGTCATGCCCCAGTAAAGCTGTGTGCTAGCATACTAAACAAGAAATCCTCCAGGCCTGGTGGCACATGTGGTCTGAAGGAGGCTGAGGGGTTGGTTGTTCAGACTGATGGCCGGCACTGCCCTGAGAAGTCAGCCTTGGGGTACCACTTGAGGAGTCAAGGGAAGTGCCAGCAGAGGGTGAGCGGGCTGGCTACACAAGTTCCCAGGACACACAAGGTCAGGTGGCATTTTAAGTGACCCTGGCCCACTCTGTGGAGTGGTTGGGCCCAGGGCCCAGGCTGTAGTGAACTCAGGGGTGATGTTCAGTGAATGGATTTGCTCCTAGACTTCAGGACTACAGGTTGAGGTAACGTTGAAACCTTCTGGGACTGGGGTACTGGGCTCAGCATCAGCATTAGTATTATGAGAAGTGACATCACCATGAGTCCCCCATCTGAGGCTGGAATTAGGACAAGTGGCCATGTTTCCAAGACACTGTCTTGATTATCTTGTCTTCCAGCCCAAAATGGATATACTGCACAGTAGGGGTGCTAGGATGGCAGGCAGGCACCACTACACCTGTAGTAGCTTTAGATTCTCCTGAAGTGGGGTCCCCTTCTCACCCTTCCCACACCTACTTGGTACCCTGTCTACTGTCCGCATAAAATCCTCTCTCACTATTGGCCAGAGTTTTCTCACTCTCTTTTGCCACCCCTCTGCCAGGAAGAGTTGGAGCTGACACCCCCTTCGTTTTGACCGCCTCCTCATCTCAACATGCCCCCACCTTGTACATATCCTCTATGGCCTCTGCCTCCTCCTCATCTACAGAGCTAGATGGGAAGAGGCTCTTGCCCCGCTTGTAGAGGTACAGCTGAAGAGGACAGAGCATGCAGTCCACCCAGGGCAGGACATAGTAGGGCATCCTCCCCCGCTTTGCTCTAAGTGGTAGCCACCCATTTGTCTAAGTCAGTGGTGCAGGTTGTGTAACTACTGGCCACAGTTCCTGACTGTGGGCTCTTCTGGTGGGTAGATGTTTGATGTCTCGTGTCAGTGAGACTCCACTGGACTGGAGAAGAAAAAAAAAAGCAAAAGTTTTGAGACTGTATCCCACGTACTTTCCTCTTTCCATGGGGTACCCAGGGGCATCCTGAGCTGTGGCTGAGAGTCTTAGAGCTCAACATCCATTGAGCACCACATCTGTGCTCACACCTGCAGCCTGGGCTCTGGGCCCAGCCATGCCACACAGTGGCTTCCCCCACAGGGCTGTGAGCCATGCCTTGGTCACCAAACACTGGCATATGCCTTGACTCTCCTCTTGAATAAACACCAGCAGAGGTCCCTGTTGAACATCTGGCTGCACATCTGTTATGACCCTGAGTGCTAGGATTTTAGTGGTGTTTTCTCTTTGGCTCTGTGATGAGGTTTCACTGTGAGATGGAGGGAAGCATGGAAGAATGCCTGGCTGGTGAGCTGGCTTACAGCCTCAAAGCAGGTTCCTCATGGCGCCTCAAAGTTAGCTCAGACACAGCCCGCAGTAGTAGGGCTTCCAGGCTGTTTAAAAAGTGGGAAATTTACACAGCAACATGAATGTCTCATTTCTTCAAGTTGACTGACCAGTTGGAGATGGCCAGATACTCTCTTCTCTGTGTGACCTCTGCTGGTCTCACATGTGACTCCTGTCCTTGCCTGTGTCATTTGCATGTAAACCCTTATTTCAACAGTCTCCTCCTGTCTCACAGGGATATTACTCCACCTGGAGAACCGCTGAGCAAGAACAGCAGACCCAAAGTAGCCTCCCGCTTCCCTAAGCTGTCCCGAGGCCAACCCAGGGAGATACGCAATGTGGAGCCTCAGAGCGGTGACCTCTGACCTCAGTGGAATTCCAGACTCCAGCCACTTTGTGCTCAACCTAGCCATGGCCGCTGGCTCTGGACACCTTGGCAGGATGACCATGTCCCCACAAAGAACACACTCTTCCTGCTGCCGCACGCAACCCAATTAAATTGGTCAGTTTCAGCTGTTGGGTCCCTGCTGGGCATTGCTCACTGGACAGACAAGATGGGGACACTCTCACTACCCCCCAGTGTGGCCAAGGCTGGGTGTCACCTCCTGCAGTTCTGCCAGCAGGTCAGTGGGTTCTGGGACCCCTGGTTGAGATGCACAACACACGGGCAGAAGGATCCTTCAGATGCCACCCATGACGCTTGCCCATGTGGGAACCAGCATGACTGACACTCTTGGATTTCCTCCTGAAGCAACTGCCTGCTGCAGCCTGTGAATGGAGACTCCTCCTCCCTTTCCTCTTTCCCCTGTGGTAGTTAGACACCAAGCAGCATGACCACATGGCTGCTGTGGCTGGGATTTCTCCAGGAATAGTCCTCTAGTGGCCTAACAAAGGCTTTGGCAGTGACTGGTCCTTGAAAAACTTAGCCTTCCCTCCTGTTGCTGGCTCCAGGAAGCACCATCCATTCAGGAAACCTGAGGCTGCTCCAGCAAGGGCAACTGGATGGACCTGAGGGGTTCCACCATCCAGCCCAGCCCAGGACAGCCTGGAGACCCCGAGGAGGACATCCCTGGTCCTAGAAATGGTGGTTGTGACCTCAGATCACTGGAGATTTGGCTTTGGGCATTACTGTGGCAAGCCGGCCCTATGGAGTCTCAGACCCAGTGCCAGAACTGAGCCGAGAATGATTGTCCCCTGAAGTTGTTTAGCACAAACTGTCCCTAACGTGTTTCAGTGGGAGCAGAATGCTGTGTCCCCCAGGACGATGTTCTCCTCTTGCTCTCCTCTCAGGGTACCATCCTAGAGTCCAAGGCTCACAGGCATGGAGTGGAAAAGAACCAGCTGCTTGGCAGCTCTGACTCTGCCACCAAGCCTGGGTCCCTCTGCGTCTCAGGACCCACTCTCAGTGGTCTTCTCCCCAGGTCAAAACCTCCTTGGTGTCTTGGTATAGCTTGGAAGAGCTTGCAAAAGGGACCATGTACCAAGCAGTGTGCACATCTCTGCCTGCCAAGGAGTTTCCAGTGGCATCTCTCTAGGGGAGGCAACTGGAAATGCCTGAATGTGGGCTGGAAGGGCTTCAGCTCAAAGCTGGACCTTGCCAAGTGGGCTGGGGGAGCAGGGGTTTTCCTGGCCCAAGGAAAGCTTGGAGAAAGTTCCCTAGAAGATGAGAGAACTTCAGAGCACAGGGAGACAGAGAGGCCTGAACAGTTCCAATTCCTTGGGCCAGATGGGCTGTGCACAGATGAGGCAGAATATACACACGCATACGCACACGCACACGCGCGTCCTCCCTTACAGCTGGGATCAGGAGTTGGGGGAAGCAGGGAACCATCTTCAGCCTGCTGGGAAGGAAGGACCCAAGAAGTTTCTCAGCCCTAGAAACCCAGCATGGTTCCTCTCTTGTCTGCCTGAGAGGCCATAGGCTCCACACAAGCCCCACACCTAGAATGTAGGTCAGAGAACTGGACCTAGTAGCCAGAAAGGCCCTGTGAGACTCTGGTAGGCCAAGTCCGCCTCCTGAGCTGGGGTACTCAGCATGGAGACACTTTGTATTCTGTCATGTTCTGTAAAGAAAGGATCCTGCACCCTCCCACATCTCCCACAGCCCAGAGTCCTGAGTAGCAGGTCTTTGGGTACCTGGCTCAAACACACATCGCTAAGAGGCTCTCTCACTGTAGACACAACGTATAGAATAATCTTTCACATTCAGCACCTGCAGTTAAAGCAGAGAAAGGGAGGAAGGAAGGAAAGAAGGAAAAGAAAAAAGAAAAGAAAGAAGAAAGGCACCCAGAGTAAAATGCCTTGGTTTTCAAGGATTAATTTTGGGAAACTTGCCCAACTTTGCCGTAATGTGGATGTGAGAACTTAGTTCTGGGGACCGTGTGGGCCTTTGGTTGCTTGATACCTGCCTCCTACCCACTCCTTCTCCCCTGTGGGGATTGACACTGGGGCCTTGCAAGTACTGGACAAAAGCTCTCTAGTGAGCCACACTCCAGCCCTGCCCACACCGTTCCCACAGAGGCCTAGCAATCACTCTCGGCTCCAGGTTGCCCATCTCATTACCTCACAAGAGCATGTGAGCCCCCTGGAACTTGGGCAGAGCAGTACAGGGTGGGGTCGGGTGATAGAAGGCTTTCCCCACAATGCTCCCTAGATGTGAGGCCCAAAGTCCAGAGAAGAATGCAGAGCCATGGCCACCCAGTGGGTCTGACACAGCCTCAGCTCTTCGGGACACTGTTTCCCAACCTTGAGCCTGACTGTGGCCTTGGCCTACTTGTGGCTACTGAAACTTTGTTCTTGGAACAGTTCACATGTCCTGAGGCCCAGGTCACAGTGTTCTAGGCCTTGGCTCCTGGGCCATTACTCCAGCTTCATCGGTCTGTGTAAGACACAACTGTTGTATAAACAGAACTGGTCCCCAAGGAGAGCCTGGGCCCTGGTCTCCCAAGTCTACCACCAGACTCCATCTCTGTGGCAGCCTGCACCTGCATACACCCACCCAGCTGTGCCCAGCTGAGGGCTCAGAGGCTTAGGTCTTCAGCCACCAGGACGAGCCAGGAACAGTCTAGCCATGATGTCCTGCCCTTGCCCTGCTACACTGGCTGGGAGGCCTGCCAGGAGGAGCAGCCTCAAGCCCATGGCAATAAGTCCTAATGCTCAACACTCTCACTAGGGTCAATTCCACCCAAAGCTGCCTCCTGGCCTGAGGGCTGTGACCAGAAGGCAGGTGCCTCCTCATGAACAAGGTCTATTGTAATGAACATTCTTCAAAATATTGTGCATTATTTCATTAAAGCTAGTGTTAAATGTTTGCTGTTTAGGTTGGTTCTATGCTAACTTTGCACAACTGTAGCACTGTATATTTTAGCTAATATTTCTGTGCCAAAAAGTTCAGCTCCCTGTTGCTATCACATGTGGTCTCCATTATGCTGCTGAAGTAAAGTGTAGGCAGTGGATGGGGAGGGTAGAGAGCACAGTAGCAGGACTGGAGTGGATGTTGTGTCAAGGCTTGGGTTCACTTCCCACTGGGGCCATGTTCTCCTGCCTTGTAGACACTGCTCACCACATGTTCCAGCCACCACCTACAACCCGCTCAGCTCCACTTCTGCCAGGGAGACCACTTGACCACATGGAGGTTTTCTGTTTGGTTGTTTTGTTTTCATCAGTGGGATGGATTGGGAATCCCCAGCAAGAATTGGGACATACGGCACGAGACAGTGGGTTGCACAGGAGCCATAGTGTTGCTGAGCACCTGGGAAGAGAACCCGAGCTGGGACCCCAGGGAGTGAGGGCCCTGGTTAGCTATCTCCATCCTCCCCAGGAAAGTTCTCGTAGCTGCTGCAGCCCTGTGTCTGGAGCCTGGGGTGTGAACAGCCCGGAAGTCTGAGCATGTGCTATCCCAACTCCCCTCTTAGGTTAAGGTTTACACAATAGAATTTTTAAACAAATCTGTTTAATTTTCTAAAATCTCTTGTATTAAATTTTTCTTTTGGAATAAGCTGTGGATTTTGTTACAATCTGGTTGAGAGAAGCCTTTTCAGTGAGGGGATTAAAATGGCATTTTCTAAATTAGATGCTCTTCTCTGTGGTTTCTTTGTCTAGATTCTTTACTGACAATTAGGATTTCGATGAATATATCACAAGAAAGCCTTTAGATTCTAAAGTCTAGAAGGTTCACTTATCACTTGAGGTGACACTCCAGACACCAGTATGTGGTTCACCGAACAGCACTTTTGTTTGAATTAAACACTGGGGGTCACTTGTAGTATTATACTGATCTTGGTAAAGTGGAATGTAGAATAAAAATTCCACACAGAAAGGAATTCCACATCCTCATGACAGATTCCTGTGTACTCAGTCAAGAAACATGAGTGAGGAAGAGGTGCGCATTTCTCTTTCCTGTGTTTCCTCAGCATCATGTCCTCTGGATCGGGGCCTCCTGGGACGGGAAGAGCAAACATCATGACAAGTTCTGCTTGCACACAGTTTTGAATTTGTAAATCCAGGAGCAGCCAAGGTCACCTGAGGGTATCAGCCAGACATGACATGGCCTTCTCTAGCTGGTCTGCCTTCTGCCAGGAAAATCCATACCACCCTACCACCATAGGTAAAAGCACCACAGGCTGATGTCCAGGAGCCACCTTGGTCCCTGGAGAAAGTCTGCATGGTGGCTTCTGGTCCAGAGTCCTGATGGCCTCCATGCTGCTAGCTCTCTGGGCTTCAGTTCCCAGCTCCTAGTCTTCAGGAGTGACATTACCCATCTCAGCTCTTCAGGGAGTCCTGTAAGCGAGGGCACAGCAAAACTACTAAATCAGACCACTCAGTGGGTAGACAGGTTTATTGGGGATCAAACTGCCAGTGCTGTGTCTCAGCATGTATGGGTGTTGGGGGGGGGAGCAGAGAGAAGGAAATGGTGGGAAATCAAGTGGACTTTATGATAGCGGGGTGCCAGCCTTTGATCTGATACAGGCCAGGAATAAGATGCCTTTGCCTGAGCTAATTGCCCCTTGAGTGGGTTAAAGGAGGTCCTGGTAAACAGAAACCTGCCTTAGGACACTCCTGTGTATCCAGTAACAACCCTTCTGTTTAGGACATTGCCACCAGTACTGCCATTTTGGAGGACCCGCTTTGGAACCAACAGGCCCTAAATAGCATCATCATCCCAGACTTGTTACAGCCGGTCACTGTACCCATGTAGAGCAACTACTCCTGAAGTCTAGGCTTGGCCTCCCCCACAACCCCTCCTGGGCTGGGGCCATATTGAGAAGCTTGAGGCTGAAACCACCGCAGCAGGAGCAGAAACAGAAATATGTCATGCAGCAGATTCAGGGGCCTTGAGAGTCCAGTGCGAACCTGCACCGGTGCCGTGTGGATCTCTGTGGCCCTTCCTGTTTCTGCTAATCCCTGCTGTGCTGTTTCAAGGCTTTGCCTTGAGGCTGCTTTTCCAATTCACCTTGTCTTTCTCCCCTACTCCCTTGGCCTTCAGCTTCCTGTTCTTGGCCCTGAGCATGCCATGCCTTTATCTGCCCCCAGCCCTTGGCATGTGCCGTTCATCCTGCTTTCTGTGCCCCATTCATTCATCTGTCAGGGCCAACTTCAAGGTCATTTTCCAAGATAAACCTTCTTTGACCCTCCAAGCTACCATCATTCCCACCACCACAATCTTTTACTTTAAACTTTTTATTGAAAAACAATATTTTTCATATAAATTTTGATCATTTTCCCCTCCCTCAGTCACTCCCAGATCCTCCTCACCTCATTACCTACCTATCCTTATGTTCTTTCACTCTCCAAAACAAACAAAAACAACAAAAGAAACATACACACAAATAACCTCACAAAATGAAAATCAAACAAAAGACCAATTAACACACACACACACACACACACGGCAAGAAAAGCAAAATGAGACAAAAAGTCTACAAAAATGCCACTGAATTAATTTTGTGTTGGTCATCTACTCCTGGGCATGGACCTATCCTGAGGTGTGGTTAATATACCCAGTGAGACTCCATTGGAATGCAGTGATGTTTCCTTTGCCAGCAGGTATCAGTTGTAGGTAGCGTCTTGGTTAGGGATGGGAGCCCCCATGTCCACATCCCCCTCTCAGTACTGGGACCCTGTCTGACTTAAACCTGTCCGGGCCTTGTGCATGCTGCCACAGTCTGTGCACTCATATGCTTGTCAGCCCTATGGAGTCTGGACGACACTGTTTCCTTGGAGTCCTCCATCACTGCTGGCTCTTGCACTCTCTCTTCCTCCTGTTCCCTGAGCCTTGAGGACAGGTCTTTGGTGAAGACATCCTACTTAGGACTGAGTCCTCCAAGCCTCTCACAGCAGCATCTCTCTCTAAACCCCATAGCATGAACTTGCATTTGAAGTTTACCTATGGATGCAGCGCCATGGCTGCCATTTCTCTTCCAGAGGGTAAAGATGGCATGGGGGGGGTCACTGTTGCCAGGGATGCTCACCCACACCAGCTCCCCTTTTGCTGCTTCTCACCAGGTTAAAAGGCAGTCATCTTTGTTTCTCTGCACAGCTGTCCATGACAATGCCATCAGAGCCTCTGACTCTACACTGTGCATCCCAAGGGCAAAGTCTGAGACTCCTGTCTTCTTCATAACATTTTCAGCTCACATCTGGCCAGGCAGGTGCTCCACGAATGGAGGTGACATGTCAGCCTTCTCAGCCTTGTTGGTGTTAAGGTCCCTACTCAGATGACTGTAAACCCTTGGGCAGGCCTGGAATCCTTACTGATGATACCTCAGTTTACCCTAATAAGAGGGCCTTCTGGCAGGTGAAGGTTGCCAGCAGCAGAGAGCTTTCCAGAACTCTGTGTCTCTTGCAGAGTGCTCTCCAGGAAGGTCCCTGTGGGGGTTGCTCAGCCCTTCTAGAAAGCAAAACCAAGATGGACAGAGGGCTAACATTTTCTGATGCTGGTTTTTGCAATACCATCTTCGTACTCTAAAACCCACAAGCTTCTAGAGAATTTAAATGAATGGCTAAAGCTGCACATCAATGCTTGCTCTGGTAGCTAAACTTTGTAATTTAAGATTTACCCATGTAATAAGATGATAATGGTCTTAAAGACGTGAAGGGACCATAGGGAACAGCTGAGGTTTGCAAATGTATGGTAGGACTAGAGTTCCAAAGATAGTCCAGCTGCAATGGTGGAAATGCCAGTGCCAGGTGATGATCACCAGAAGCACCAGTCATAATAAAATGGAGCAGGCTATGTATATGCTGCCAAGGGTAGGGCCAAAGAAATCATCCAAGCCTCTAAGTAAAAGAACCAAAAGAATTATGAATGAATCCCAGATATTGAACTTTGGGATTGTTTGCACTATGGAGCTTTGTTTTACTTTATACAGATTGTGATGATGCCATGTTTTCTCCCTCTTAAAGTTAAAAAAAAAAAGGTATTTTATTTTTGATATTGCAGAAAGATATTTGAGAGATCTTAACCTATTTAAGAACAGTTTTTAAAATATTTAAATTTGTAAGGCTGTGGAACATTTTCAGTTTATAAAATGCTCTATATTGTTAATATTTAGACTTAAAAGGCTAAAAATTAGGGTGACAGCCATAAGCACCAAATGCTAACCAGGAACTAGGATGTTCATTTCTTGTGATGCAGCAAGACAATAACTAAACAGTCTGGCAAAGGGCTTGAAACAGCTTCTGACTCCATGAGTCTTCACCTTTTGGGGGTTGAAAAATCTTTTTACAGGGGTATCCTAGGACCAACTGTATGTCAGATGTTTGCATTGAGATTCAACAATGGCAAAACTGCAGTTATAAAATAGCACTGAAAAAGTTAAAAACCAGTGAGACTTAAGAATGTTGTCTAGCCCCGGACCTCCCATCTGGACAAGAGGTGAGTGCCTGGGCTCATTCCCAGAGAGGACTGCCCCCAGGTCCCATCCCTGGGCACCAGCCATTCCAGGGAAGACCTGCCCAACTTGGCCCCAGGTTCTGGCCATCAGGCAGGATGCCCCCCACCCCCACCAGGAAGGTTCCCCTTCTCCAAGACCCCTGGCAGAACCTGCAGTCTCCACACCCTGCCCCCACGCCCATCCGTTCGAGACCCCTGCCACTTCCTGAGACTTAGAGACCAGCCCTCAGCTCCCATCCTGCCCCAGAGCTCCCATCTGGACAAGAGAGCTTCCATTTGGACCAGAGAGAGGCTTCCTGAATCTGTCAGCTCTGTCTGGGCCAAGAGCGCTGATAAGACCAAGAACGAATCCACAAGGAGATGGGAAGACGTCAAGGCAGAAGTACATACAACAAAATAAAGAGCAATACAGCATCACCAGGACCTAGCCCTCCTCCAACAGCTAGACCTGAACATCACAAAATGGAAGAAGCAGAAGAAAGCAACCTTATGGATAACATCATGAAGAGGCTAGAGCCTTATATAGAAGAAATCAAAAATGAAATTGAGGAAAAGACAAACAAAAATGGGAAGAACGCCATAAAAAACTAGAGGAAAGGACAAATAAAGCAGAAGAAAACAATAAATCCCTGAAAGAAAATCATGAAAAAGCAATGAAACAGATGAAGGAAACAGTCCAAGACCTGAAAAGGGAAATAGAAAAAATGAAGAAGACACACACAGAGGGAATGCTGGAAATAGAAAATCTGAGTAAACGAACAGGAACTTCAGATGCAAGTATAACCAACAGAATGTAAGAGATGGAAGAGAAGATCTCTGGCGTTGAAGGTACGGTAGAAGAAATAGATTCATCAGTCAAAGAAAACACTAAAGCCAACAAAGTCATGACCCAAAATGTCCAAGAAATTTGGGACACCATGACAAGACTAAACCTATAATAGGGATAGAGGAAGGAGAAGAATACCAACTCAAAGCACAGAAAATGTATCCAACAAGATCATAGAAGAAAACTTTCCCAACTTAAAGAAGGAAATGCCTAGAAGCCTATAGAACACCAAACAGACTAGACCCCCAAAAAAGTCCCCTCACCACATAATAATTAACTAAATGTACAGAATAAAGAAAGAATATTAAGAGCAGCAAAGGAAAAAGGCCAAATGACTTATAAAGGCAAACC